TCACAATTGATAACCTAAATCAACTTACAATTAAGGTTGACACTATCCAAATCACGGGACAGGCCATGTTTGAGCATGTTCCAGGCTGCCAGACCGTGCGTGGGGAGACCCTTACTTACTTCGCCGATGAGTTCATCCAGGACTGTCCCAAGCTTCAGTTCAAGCTGAACATGTTGTCGTGGAGACTCAGGAATCGCCCGAATAGCGACAGAACCGTGTACAATCGCCTTCTTAGGCTGCTAGACTCCATCAAGGATCGGGTGTCTGACTAATGACCTAGATTGTTTGGTTGGTCGGGTAGCATCAGTTTCGATTGGTATTGATTTTGACGATTTTTAACCTGGTTTGGCGAAAAGACCGAGCAACTTACGACACCCTTGTTACAATTTTAGAAACTTGAATCACAAGTAGTTAAGATGTTTGATTCAGTAGGTTGCATGGTCTGATTTTCTAGACTGCATCCCTGCTTATATTCAGCATGTATGTAATAGCGAGCTAAATCGGGTCAATGAATTCATCATCATCATCATCATCATCCCTGCTTATATCGATTTTAGACATGTTGACCTCTTACTTCTACACAGACTGCAAACCGAGAGCAATTCATTGTACCTATCGTGTGTTCTCAGGATTTCGGCGGTAGTTGATCTCGAACATAGATAGTGAGAGTCAAGCTGGATATGGTTTTGAATTCTGCGTAACCCGCGAACTCTGAAGCCAATTTGCTCTTTTGGAGCTTGTAACGATTGATAGACAATATGACTCGTCCACATGGTGCAAGGTTTAGAGGACATGTAGTTCACAATTCATCCCATACTGTATTTGCAATGAAATTCAGTACCTCCACGTGTATGTACATATTTAGTGAAGCGTTAACGTACACAGAGATTTATGTACCTTGAGTCCAAGTTGATTACACGCGAGCGAATAAATCCTCAGAAATGCTCTACAGGGCCAGAGCCAGAGCCAAAGCACCAGCTGCACCAGCAACACTCAAGGCAATGCCTCCAGTGGGAGCGGGGGCGCCACCAGTAGATTTCGAAGAAGAGGGAGAAGACGATGTAGAGCTGGAGCTCGAATCAGAACTGGAGGCAGAGGGGGTGATGGCAGCGTCAGAGCTAGAGTCTGAGGAGGGAGTGGAAGCCAAAGTGGTCTCGGCAGCATTGGAAGAGATCTCGACAGCATTGGAGGTCTGGCTGGCAGCGGTGGAGAAGCCAGTTTCGATGGCGCTGTTATCAGCAGTCTCAGTCTGAGCAGCACTGCTATCGGCGGTTGCCGTAGCATCAAAGATCTGGTCATTGATGTTGGAAGTGGCCCATGCCTTGACGCTGCTAGGCAGTGCGTTGTACCAAGCGGGGTAGGTTCCAGCCGCAACTTCGCTGACAATCGAAGAGAGGGAGGTGGGGTCCATGATGTCGTTATACCAAGAGGACGGGATGGCCGTTGCCAGAACCGTCATGATGGAGCTGGGTACATCCGCAATGTCGTAAGCATTATCGCTATCGGCGGAATCAGTGCCTGAAGATGTGGCAGTAGAATCCGCAGGGGCAGCCAGAGCCGTGGCGGCGAGGAAAAGAGTGGCAAGGATCGTGTACTGCATGGTTAAAAGAGTGTGTGAGGACAGGGGATAGGGAATAGGGGAAAGGAAAACAACGAGGGCTTAAATAGAAGAGCCGAAGAGACGGCGGCTATGGGGCTCTTTCAACCGTGGAACCTTGAAAGGGCCCAGGGCCCAGGCCCCACGTTTTTACTTTGGTTAGGGCCACGCTAGTACTAAACAAGCAAAAGCCACATCGACGCTTGCCTAAAATGGCGACGCCACGGGTAATTGGCCAATCAGTCGGCCCGATTAGACCAATTTGACCAATTTCCTCGACGCTAGGCATTTCGATGCGAAAGTTGCCTGTGCTATGGCTGGGACTAATTTCTGGTGCATTTGCGCTGGAGTCGATTACGATCTATCGTGCCCCTTTTTTTATTATTTCCGTGTTCCGTCCTTTTCTTTTCTAAATTTAGCTAGTCTGGGGTAGTGAAGAATATGAAATCTGTACGTACGGTGTGCTTGGTATTCATATCGGCAATTCTAAATGGAGCCTTCCCTAAGGAGAGTATTAAACTTGGAAAAAAAATAAGGGTTGTTGCCTCTGGACTTTGTCAATTTTAGTACGTCCTCGATATGACGGGCTTGACATTACACTTGTCAATGCCCTAAGCCCTACGGAGTACGTCTGCCAATGGGTAATTTCGAATTTCACTGTAGGGCGTGATACCTGACCGTACATGATGGTTCACTGGGTACGTGGTGGTCTGGTACGGGGAACTCCGTAGTCGTCTACTCCGTATCGACTAGTGCTTATGCTATTAAAAACTCTGTTGAATGTGATTAATCCCACTCATTCGATCCGATTCCACGAACATAACATAACGTTCGACTTTATCAGTCCTGTTACAACATACAGCCAGGGCAAACATAGCTTTGCTATAACTGTTTTGTCTCAATTCATCATGATTTAAAATGCTGCATGTGTGACATCACAAAACACTGCAGACAGTGCGTGGTGTTGGAGAAAACCGCCCGCTTAGTCCAGTCAGACCGTTTGCAAGGTTCAAGGGTCACTCAGAGATATCTGAAACAGACCTCTAAAACTATCCAAGAAGTCATCTGAGGACACTTAGATAAAACTAACCCTAAGGACCTATTTGCTAGTCATTTCTAACAGTTCCATGTAGCTCTTTCCAAACTCACACAGTGTTGCTTGATTGCAAATAAAGAATCCCATTGGGCACAGACCAAAGGGTTCCATAGAATTCGCAATATGTACTCCGTAGCAACCTCTAACCTCCATTCCTCAAACCATCGAATAAGTACCTCTTGACTTGTACCTGGTCGCACAGAAAGTGAGATCAATGGAGTGCCTATTTTATCAGGCATCAAAATGAGTCATCCGAGCCCCGGGAATAAGCGTCTCACGTACACACACCACAATGTTGGCTTTCTTTATTATGGGCCCGTGATATCTTTTCGCTTGTCCTTTGTTGCTAGTTCTGAGAAATTGTACTCATTCCACTGCCGATCTTGACACATCTCTCATTGCATTTGTTTGTTACTGCACGTCAAAAGGGAAGACACTTAAAATCCTCCCGCCACCTTTCGGGATCAACTGCCCACCATGGCCGAATGGAGCCCTAGTTGTAAGAGCAAAAATCCGCAACCCCCATTTCCTCGTCTGTTCTAGTGTCACTGACTATACTCAGCTTGGACGCAAAAGCCCATCAAGCAAGATGTCATTTACGAAGATCTTCCAGGGCTGAAAGAGTCGCTGCAGAAACTACAGAAGCTCCCTCCCCTTGTGACCACACAAGAAGTATGTATTTTCGTTAGACGATAGAAGAACTATCATTTTGACCTGGTTGTCAGATTATCAATCTTAAGAAAAGCCTACGAAATGTCGCTTTGGGCAAAGCATTCGTTCTCCAGGGTGGTACGTTGCACAGGAAAATCTTTCCTAACCACAAGGACTAAGCAATTCAAACAGGTGACTGTGCGGAGCTTTTCGACTATTGCAGCCAAGAAATGATTGAAGCCAAGGTCAAGCTCTTGTTGCAAATGAGTTTGGTTCTCATCTGGGGTACGTCAGAGGGACTTCTGCAAAAAGCAAAGAAACTGGCAACTAATCCATCGATAGGTGCCAATAAGCCCGTCATCCGTATTGCTCGGATTGCAGGCCAGTTCGCAAAGTAGGTTCTTAATTCATGAATTCATAACCACAAACCTAATATCAAAACTAGGCCACGCTCAAGTCCAACAGAGGTCATCAACGGAGTGGAAATGCCCTCTTTCCGCGGTGACAACATTAATGGCTTCGCGGCAGACGCTGCATCCCGCCATCCAGACCCATCCCGTCTAGTCTCAGCCTACTTCCACTCCGCGGCAACCCTAAATTACCTCCGTGCCTCCCTGTCATCAGGCCTGGCAGATCTGCACTCCCCACTAGACTGGGGTCTGGGCCATGTAATCACGCCCTCAATCAAAGAGCAATACGCCAAAACCGTCGGCGCGGTAAAGGATGCCCTGCGCTTTATGCACACAGTAGGAATCGACAAAGACCGTGGCTTCGAGACAGCCGACATCTTCACCAGTCACGAGGGTCTTTCCCTGGAATACGAGCAGAGCCTAACCAGACTCCTTCGCCACCCAGTGCACGCAGGAAGCAGCACCGCGTCCCCCGAGACAGGCTATTACGCGACATCCGGCCACTTCCTCTGGATCGGTGATCGCACACGCCAACTCGGCGGTGCGCACGTCGAGTTCTTCCGTGGGATCGCCAACCCCATCGGAATCAAGATCGGGCCTAGTATGGCGCCGGACGAGCTGGTGCAGCTTTTGGATATCGTTAACCCGGATCGTGAGGTTGGAAAGGTGACTTTGATCTCCCGGTACGGCGCTTCGAAAATCGCCAACTTCCTTCCTGGCCATATTGCCGCTGTGCAGGCCTCTGGTCATATCCCTGTCTGGCAATGTGACCCTATGCATGGCAATACCCAGAGCACGCCATCTGGTGTGAAGACCCGCCATTTTACAGACATCTTGTCTGAGTTGAAGCAGGCGTTGGAAATCCATCGTGCTGCTGGGTCATTCCTTGGTGGTATGCATCTTGAACTTACTGGGGAGGCTGTCACTGAGTGTGTGGGTGGTGCTGCTGGGCTGACGGAGGATGGGCTTGGGGAGCGGTATACGACATTCTGTGATCCGCGCTTGAATGAGAAGCAGGCATTGGAGCTCGCTTTCTTGGTTGCTGGATTCTATCGTGAAGAGTCGCAGGAGTAATATCGTATGGTGAAGCGGTGAAGCGACAACGAAAACATTTTGGGTAGTATCATCGAGTTTCTGAATCAAAAGTCATGTGTTTTGCAAGTTGATCGTGGATATGAGTCTGCATTTAGTTTAAGCTGGGATTATGTTTAGTTTAATTGAGATTCAAAACAAGAAGTAACAACCTTTGGCCTTGCGCAAAAATAGTCCAACCTGTCCAGCTCGCGGTCGTGGGGCAAATGTCAAAAAACGCCTAAACAAAGAGATGTCCCCATATTTACAGTGACGGGGTATGGATTTACAGAACACGAGCAATGCCAAAAATGAGAAAAAATCAAGGAACAAGAGGGCTAGCGATGGAAGGCTTGTAAACAAGACTCTTGCGCCTGGCAGCCTCCATACGGAAGCGGCGCTGTCTCCTAGATTCCTCGTCTTGTCCGTCATCCAGAATATTGCTCGCGGGCTTAGCACTCGGGAACAGACCTCGGTTGCTCTGCTTTGGTGGGCAGGACTGTTGGAGAAGCTTGGAGCGATTGCCAAGGAATCCGGGCGTAGCGGGCGACATGCCAATGGCATCAAGGTTGGCGAAGTTGTATCCTGGAGTAGCAGGGAAATGGTACCTATCAGCAGAGGACTGTTGTGGGGGTGTGGATGGCATCTGCTGCTGGTGGGTTAAAGGTGTGATCTTGCGGAAACCCTCAACGGCACCTGCGTTGACACCACTGCGACGTCGGACGGCAGACGGCACGGGAGATTCGGAAATGCGCACGAGTGTGCCGTTCACATTGCTTAGCGCACGAGGCTCCATACTTTTGCGGCGCTTGGCGCCTCCACGTGGGATGATAGAGCAGTCAACCGCGTACGGGGTTTCATTGAGCCATTGGTTTTCCCGTTCACAACTAGAAATAACAGTCAGAAACGCAATGTAAAATAATAGTATACAAAAGGGAAACTTGCTCGAGGACCCAGCCGACTCCAACACACTTGACAAGGCCCGCTGCCTTCTTGACTTTCTCCAGGGTTCGCAAACCACCATCCTTATACACAACATGGGTGATACCAATTCTCAAGTCCTTGGGTTCTACATCATCAACTGGCGATAGACTGGAACGAGGGTTCCAGGACCAGGACTTCACACACCGGGCACCCATTTGCTGCAATAGTTCCACAAAGATACCGGAGGCATCCTCACCCTCGGTTGTATGAACATCCACATGCACGACCGCCCCGTGCAGAGCTTTCTGTTCAGTGCTAATGCTACGACGCGGCTTCTTGGCAGGACTAGCCGTTATGGCAGAAGTATCATGCGCAGCCAACACAGGTGTTTTAACACTGCTGCGTCTACCTGCAATAGAACGACGTTTTGGTGTCGGACTTCTGCTCACCCGTGGAGATTTCCGAGAGGGAGACAAAACTGGTACACTGTCATTAAGTGCCTTATAGGTGGGCTTGCGAACGCGTGAAGAAGACCGAGTGGGAGATGGGCTTGAGAGCGACAGGCCTCTCTTGCGGGACAGCTTTAGAGGTGATACATCACCAGCGGCTTTCAGGGGCACTTTTGACACGGTGTGAATGGTACGTAGTTCGTCGGGTTGGAGTTGAGCCTTCATTGGGGTTGAAGGAAGAATTGTAGGACCGCAGTTCTCCTTGTCATCTAGTAGATGAAACTTTTGGGCCTGGCCTTGCGAGACTTCAGTGGTAGAAAAATGTTCCAGTTCAATGATCTCGGAATCAGGATCCTCGAAAATATCCGTGCTTGTTTTCGGCGAGTCTATTGTTTTGGAGTCTTCATAGAAGGAAGATCGCCGTGGAGTCGGTTCATACTCAAGGTTCATGCGAGGATCATTGCTTTGAGGCTGAAGTGGCAGTTCGGCAAACAAAGAGGAGATTTTCGCCAAAGGGCTCTTTGACAAATCGGGATACGACACAACTTCAGAATTTGTTGCAGTTTCGTTGTTGTTGCGGTCCAAGGGGCCTACTAACGAGAAAACTCCACGGCGACGCGGTCGGAGTGATCTAGCCTGGGAAGGGGTATTCTGTTCCCAACGGCCAAACTTTTGCGCCAGTGGCGTAAAACCTAGGCTAGACTCAGCAGGGGATTGGTGCTGATCAGCAACGCTTGGTGTGTTGAAGAAACTAGGTGTCTTTAACGGAGGACTGTCGGCCTGGGTGTTTGGCGTCCAATTATTTTCTTCATGCAGGGGTGTGTCAATGATGACAATATTGGCATTCTTGGCATCGAGGGTGGAGCCAAGTTCATTCTCTGAGTTGGCCGGGCGATTCAAGGCGAAAGGAGTAAATTCGCCGCCCATGGGACTTGGTTGTGGTGAAGCAATTGATTTCGTCCTTTGGAAAGAGGTTTGAACGTTTTCGGCATGCTTGTTCTCCTCTGGCGAAGCAGGTTTAGATGAGATTGTAGCAAACTCAGGCCCGGCCAGGATAGACTCGGTGTCTTCCACATCGCTTTCCTCCCGCATCAATTTTTCCTCTTCCTCGGGTTGAAGAACGGCCTCTTCTTGCCATTCACGTTCACTTTCCAAGAAATATTCCAAGTCAACCGTTGGCTGGGCTTCGTCGCCATAGGTCAATTTCAATGGTGACCTGGAGGACGAAGCAAGTTCATTCGGCTGCTCTTCCACATATAGTTCTTGCATATCTGTAGTCTGAGAGGGCACTGGGGTCGATTCTCGGGACCCTTCCTCCTGGATCTCGCGCTCCAGAATTGCCAGCTCGTCTTCGGGATAATTCCTGTCCTCTATGACTGAGCCTGCCATCTGACCTTCTTCGTCATACAAGTCATTCTCTGCGAGGTTTGCATCTTCCATGGCGTCAAAGCAAGTTGTTTCAGGCTTCTCGTACTCGAATTCATTCTCGTCATTCTCGCCCTCTTCTAGGTCTGAGGTTTCTTGAGTTTGTTGGTCATAGAGATCATGCGCTGCAAATTGGGCATCTTCCATGGCGTCAAAGCAAATTGTTTCAGGCTCCTCGTACTCGAATTCGTTATCGTCATTCTCGCCCTCTTCTAGGTCTGAGGTTTCTTGAGTTTGTTGGCCATAGAGATCATGCGCTGCAAATTGGGCATCTTCCATGGCGTCAAAGCAAACTGTGTCGAGTTCTTCGTACTCAAATTCGCTTTCGTCTTGCGGGTCTTCTTCTCCTTCAAGATCTGAGGCTTCGTGGGCCGATTGTTCATGAAGCTCATGCACTGTGAATTGGGCGTCTTCCATGGCGTCAAAGCAAATTGTATCAGCCTCTTCATACTCAGGCTGATCCATGTCTTGAACATATTCACATTCAACTTCGTCCAGTTCTGACTCTGCCTCGGCCTCCATCTCCGCGGACAGAGAGTCGGTGTCTCGATCATTGAGTGAGTATCGGGCCAGTTCAGAGGAAGGTGTATACTTCTCAACGGAAGAAAGCGATGATGACATCCTATTAGAAGATAGCTCAATGCCAAAAATGTCTCGAGCCACATCCTCTACCATTTCAGTGTCTTTTTCAAAAGCCAACTCGTCTGGCTGGCTTTCCTGTGGCGAAGATTCGGGGGGGGTGGATTGTGCAATTTTGTCTGTTTTAGACGGGGTTCCATCATTTTCCATGGTGTTGGAGGGGCCCATGGATGCATGAGCCGAGAACAACGAGGTTTTGAACGGAGATGCTATTCTCTTTGCGGGGCTTTGAAACAAGGGTGTACGAGCAGGAGCAGCTGATGTGGAAGCCTGGAAAGGATATTGCGAGAATGTAACACCCAAATGACCCTTCTTAGGTGACATCTTCAATGGAGAAGTGCGTCCTAGTGTAAAATCAGGTGCAGAAATCGGATTCACACTGCCTCCGAGGAAAGAACCGCCACGATTGGGGGTATCTCTCAAGGAGAACTGGAAGGGCGACGATGGCGCTGGTCGTCTCGCCGGGCTAGACATGATCATAGAATCACTGAAATTAATGGAATTGCTGAGTGGAATAGCGAGGTGACCATTATCTGTGACCGTGTTCTGGCTGCGGTTCGGCGCAAAGTTGATTTTCCTGACTGGGGAGCCAAGTCCAATGCCGTCTGATCCATGTTTGGGGGTTGGCAATTTCGGCTCACCATTCTCATCCATAAAGCTGGACGCCTTCTTGGGCGTAAAGTTGATCCTCCGTACAGGAGAGCTCAGTCCAGTTTTTCCCAGGCCATGTTTAACAGGCGAGTGAACAATCAGTTTGACCCGATCCTTGGTGTCGTCATTGATAGTGTTCAACTCGTCATCTTCTCCGTCAGAGCTTGCGTATGCTGATAGAGACTTTGCCACTTGCTTGGCCTTCTTGGGAGATAATGGTTGGGTCGCATCCTTCTTCGCTGCGGTTGGTTTCCTTCCACGAGTGCCAGTTGTCACAGGCTTGCGAGTTGGGGCTGCTCCGAGGCCAGTCTTGCCAACGCCCGCACCCTTGGTCGTTACTCGTCGACGACCAGTAGCTGGAATCTCGGGCTCCTCGGCTTCGGAATCAGAGACATTTTGAAATTTCACTGTCTTCTTCTTAGCGGGCCCACGTAGAAGGTTCGAACGCATAGTTGTCGAGTTAGTCGAAATCGTAATTTGGTTCAATTTCGTTTCATCTGCAGTGTCAACAGCCGCTCGTGTCCGCCTGCTCGTGGACACTGTTCCACGGGTCGCAGGGGCCTTCGCTGTCGTTGCCAATCTTGGTCGCCCCCTGGTTTTAGGGGCTGCTTCGGGCTTGGTCGCAGCAGCTTCGGCAGGTAGTGGGGTTTTCCTTGGTCTTCCAACACGCTTCTTTAGCGCTTCAGTTTGTTGTCCTAGCTTCTTTTCGCTAGCGTTATTTTGGGGGGTTGACGTGTCGGCGAGAGACACCGAGGAAGCCTTCTTTCCTTGCCCAGCCACAGTTGCAGTCACTTTCGGTTTAGTAGCTGGGCGGCCAAGAGGACGTCCGGTGGGGTTTGCTGGTTTGCTTGTGATAAACCCAAGCTCGTCATCGGATTCAGCATCGAGAGTCGAGGGCGCACTCCGTCGTGCTGGTGTTGCTCTTTGAGGGGCCTTCTTTTTTGCATCTGCGGCAGCTGTGGATTTGGTTGAAGTTCGTGCCACCCGTCTGGCAGGGGATTGCGGGATTACTGCAGCACGCGCCATGTTGATGTCGCGTTGTCGTTGATTGTCGCAGTTAGTATTGGCACGCGACGCTCATGGCGGGTTTGGGCGGTCAGATGTGATATCGGCCCGATGTCGCAAGGTCACAGGTTACCGGGAGTTGTCGAATTAGGTGCATGGAAGAGAAAGCAAGCAAAGCAAATAACCCACTGTGGAGGTGACCGCTGATCCGAGGTTGCTTGTTGTGGCGTTTCCCATAGCAACCCGATCACGTGAAACTACCTTCCCAGTCAACCCACGTCAACAAGCACGTTCTGGATTGACATGGACTCACGATAATCATGTTTTTACCAAGTGCAAGGTGAAGGTCTGTTCTTGGTGATTTTAAATTCCAATCGAGAAGTTCAACTAGTACCGTAATTCAGACGTTTATTCGGCCTGTGTGATGTAATTTCAACAACACTTGATTCCTTTAAAACGATCATGTTCTGGCGTGATACTACTTTGAACATCATAGCTACCATGAAAGATGAGATCGAAAACACCTTGGCTCATCTGCTAAGTACCCCAAAGTAAGCCGAGAGAGCTGCATCCATGCGCCAAGGCGTAAATCAAATGATGCGCAATTAATAGATGATCTGGACTGACCGCGGAACCTTTTTCCTTCTTCTCATAGAGTTCAGTGCAAATTTAAGTGGAAAGACTTGAAGACCATGTTTATTTGGTGGACGCTAATTTTTGAAAACGGTTGATTTGCGATCGAACTGAGAGAAGGTATGGACACTGCTGTACTGTAGTACAAATATGTTTGTTAACGGGCAAATATGCATTGAAATCGAAGTGGATCCCATAAAATCCGTAGAAATTTAGGCAGATACCAAGAAAATGAAAAAAGACATGAGGATAGCTCGATGGCACATCGCCCATGGTTGAGAAATTGTATCAAGTGATGAAAACCCGCGTTGCAAATGCGAGCAGCTGCAAAAAGACAGCGAGAAGAAAAGTTGTTCATGATGTCTGGCTATACCAGGATGAGCATTGCCAGACTGGCTGCGACAACCGTGGAGAGCACAGTGGGCAAACTCACCGAGGCCGTACTCTCAGCCAGGTAATAAGGTGGATCGTAAGAGTTCGGTCTGGTGGAATTCACAGTGCCGTTCCAGCAGTACCGGTCGAAACACTGGTTGCAGATATCAGGCAGAGCAGTGCCCGTGCGCTCGAACGAGCGGCTGAGGATTGCACAGCCAACACAGGATGCCCAGTTGCCATCGACGGTACTGTTGGCCATAGTGGCAACCTCGTAGCCATTGAGAATGATCTTGTCACGCTCAGCGTCGTTGGTGCTGAATTGGAAAGTTGAGATGTTGGACTGGAAGGAGTAAGGGGCATTGGGGATGTACACCACGATAGGCGTGGGCCCGGTCTGGTTTTTACTATCACAGCCAAAGAAAGATGGGCGGGTGTTAAGACCCAGGTTGACGAAGGTGTTCTGGTCTGGAACCGCAGGGAAGGCGGTGCCGTTGCCGATACCGCTGATGTTCAGGCTGCGCTCATAGGTGGCAACCAGGGAGGTGCCGTTTGGCCAATAATAGTCAGTGTCGGCTGACGAGTCGACAGCGAAGATGACATCGACATGGCGGTCAGGCTGGATAAGAGGATACAAAGGGACGTTTTGTCCATCCTCGCCGCCATCGACGACGTCTAACACTTCTTGCGTGGCGTATGGCGACGAGTGTTCATTGTATTTATAGAAGGGGTTGGGATCGTAAGAGGCAATATCGTCTTGCGCTCTGTCGAAATCGGACAAGAGGTCGGTGAAAACGTTCTTTACGAAGTTGGGGAGCGAAGTGGTATTGATCTGAAGAAGGAACTGGTTGAAGAGTGTGGATGAGGTTCCGATCACAAATCCGGCACTGTCGAAACCACTGATGCAGCTCTCGTTACTTGGAAGCGAGCCACCCTCGAACTTAGAGCCCAGGTACTTGAGTGGAACGAAACCAAAGATGGTAGGGTCAAAAGTTCCAAACTCCCACGGGTTGAACTCATAGATAGTCGAGTTGCTGCCAATGACCAGTTCATTGGGGCTACGACCATCTGCAACAACAAACGGCAAGGGGTAGTTCCCCTCCTGGAAGTCGGGGGTGTCTGCAATGGAAGACCAGGTATAGCTGATTCCACCATTAGTAGCATTGAACATTTGATGGCTGAGTGCGCGGCCCCTGTACCAAATTCAGTATACACACATCCATCCCTGTTGACAAGGATGACATACCACATATCAGTAAGAGAAAGTTCAAAGCCAGCGTTCTTCTTTGCCTCAACAGCTTCAGCAAGATCCTTGTAGTAACCGACAGTATCAAAAAGCTGGACGCCACCAGTGTCAGGGCCCTCGAAGATCGAATTCCCAAACTGCCAGACAGCACCTTCCGAGTGTGTCTGCAACTTTTCGATAGTAGTGAAATTATTGATGTAGATTGAACCCAACAACCAGCTGCCTCCACTCAGACCAGCAATATAGGTAGCAGACTGCAGCAGACCACCCAAATGACCAATCGCTGACGAATTGTACGTCCGGTTATCGAAAGCCTTGACCGCACCAGCACCGTTCATCAACGCACGCCATCCGCCACCTGAAAAGGCAATGCCGATGTTGGGCAAATTTGACGAGACATCAGAGTGTTTATCGAGGTAGCCAACGACATCATAATCGCCGACTTTCACATGCCCGAAGAAATCCTTCATCGCCGACAAGCTTTTGCCACGGCGGACTTCTAGCCATGAGATCTCATTCGAAGACAGCTGTGCTGCGCTGCGAATCGTCGGCCGGCTTGCTGGGCAGCTGACTGCTGTCGGTACGTACCCGTCGGGCGCATCGGGGAGTGCTCGTTGCACACCTGCGAATGTGAGATCATCGGGATTGAGACCGGAAACAGCAGTTGCTCCTGTAAGAACATGGTGATCAGCTCAGTTAAATCTAGTGTTGAAAAATGGTCTTCACAGTCTAGTCAAGGCAGGAATGGCCAAACCCGGAAAGAAAAAAAATTTAAATAAAAATAAATTCCCAAAAAAAACTTTTGGCGAAGATGTACTTACCGGGCAAGCTCAGAGCAATCGAGATCAGCGTAAAAGTCTTCATGACGGGTAGATCACAAACGTGACTGTTAACGCAAGAAGGAAAGAATGGAATTCTCAATGTCCTAGGGGTAATACTTATGCAACGAGGGGGAATGCCGGACCCGCCGGCAGCTTAGCCAAGCCCCCCAGTGTCCCAAAATGGTTCTTTTGGTATGTTCACTAGGGATCGCGAATCATGGCTGCCGAGTGGAGTGGGGTGATGTCAAAGATGCCGAGAGCTCCGTGTTGCTTTACAATACATTGGATATACAATGACAAGATCCGTTTTTGTTATTCGAGGCGTAGGTCAGACTACCCACATGCAGCAATAGATGCGGGTAAGGCTGCCCAAATAGGGGCTGGCTGTGCTGGACAAGGCTGATTTTCAAGGCTGTCATGTGACACGAATTCGATCTCTGTGGGCAAGATAGGCATCCGCATTTCAATAGTCATTAATTGGAGTAGCTTGATTGCCCGTGTTCAAGAGGGCCTACAAGTGGCTAAAAGTGGTGTAAAAGTGGATTCATTTCAAATCGCTCCATCAAAGGACCTGGCTAAGGCAAAGACAGGGACAACTTAGGGTCCACGGTGGATTAGGCCAAAAAAAGAGAGATTGTAATTGGAGCAGAGCAAAAATGATGCTCCACAATCTCTCAGATTCGTATTATATTACTTTCCGGATATGGACAACGTTGTGCTCCAAGCCACTGTGGAGTATAAGGCTACGTGGATGTTGATGACAACTGCAGATCGGCACTGGTAGTAGAACGTAAAGCAGTTGAGTATAATCTACTATCAGATGAGAGAGAATCGGTGATCAAATTTGAAAACGTTGGACTTAACCTTGAGAAGATCACAATGAAACCAAGCTAAAGCAGCATCAAGGGTAAGGTTCTCTTTCGCTACACACAATTTCAGCCACGACCGGCGCTAATCTCGGCATGTTCAAACGTTGCCTGGTTCTCCACGTTCTCGTTAGCTTGCACATGACCCGCAGGCAGGTTGTTCAACTCATCCTCCTCCTTATCCAGACTCCAGAATTGGATAATGAAGATGGTTCCACCGACCAAGGTTAAGATAGCGAAGACTGCATAATTCCAGATCAACAGGGGGTCCCTGGATAGCGTGATCAAAGCCTCAGCAATCGCAGCGGAGATGGCGTTGGTGAACAAATTGATGGCCTGGACGAGGGAACGCATATTGCGAGGCGCCTTCGAGTAAGCATACTCCATCGAGGTGATGATGGCAAAGATCTCCGATATAGCAACTAGAACGTATGAACCAGTCTGAGCCCAGACAATGATGGGGGACGGGTTGACGCTGCCATCGTCGGTGTAGCAGTTGTTGGCCCGGTAACCGCAGGGCGAAGTTTTGTAGATGTAGTGTTGGATGACAGCTGCCCAGATCATGGAGAGCGACGCCAGCAAGAAACCAAGGGTGATTTTCTTGATAGCCGTGAAATGGATACCCATTTTGCGCAACCCGGGGTATAGGAGCGTGTCGCAGAGCGGGACGAAGATGAGTAGCGCCAACGGATCAAGATTGTTCACAACGTCGTTGGGGACGCCTTTCAAAGTCATCGTACCAGCCTGTGCGGTGAGATTGTTTGTTAATTGATTGTAGGCTAGCCAGTAGACCGGGAAATAGCAAAAGACAGCACAAGCGGCAAATCCACGGCGCACTTCGTCCACCCATGCATCATCGAAGGTCATCCACTTAGGCCGGAATTCGGGCTCAATGCTAGAAGGCTTCGCCGTGTCCCAGAGAGTGCCATCGTGTGTTCGCTTCCAGAAGATGTACGGATTGTAGTGCCAGCGGTTGCGCATACAAAACAGGAATGTCTTGATAGCCTTGTAAGTCACCGAGCCTGCCGGGGAAGACTGGCGATAGCGCTTGCGGCCCCACCACATGATGAATGGAGTAGTCAGGAACATGAGCGTGGGTAGTAAGAAGGCCAACCAGAAGCCAATATACTTTTCCGCATAAGCCATGCCGATCTGACCTGTCAATGCGCCGATGTTGATGAACATGTAGAAATAGTGGTAGATACGGCTCTGGGTGATAGTGGGGTCGACGACAACACGCTCACCCGTTTCGAGTGTACGCACCTTGAGATTGACAGCAGGTATCTGCTCGACAACAAGAGCGGATATGTTGGGCTTGAAGCCACCCGTCCCTAAACCCATGATTATCACGCCCAGAATGAACACAGCGAAGGAAGCATCTGTGTTTGTGAGCACCGGTGGGATGGCAGAGACAACCAAAATGATATGACCGAGAATGGCAGCCCCAATAGACCAGGAGATGGTCTTGTATCGTCCCCAGTACTCGTCGGCGATGTAGGCACTCACCAGAGGGAGGCAGTAGCACCAAAAGGTGTTGAAAGTGTTGATGGCACTGGCAGTTTCGACACCCTTGCCCAAGGCACCCGATACACCCTGGGAGCTAGGGCCACCAGCTCCAGTGGCATGGCTTGATCCCGGAGGACCATTCGGGACAGGAAGGGGAAGTGCGTGGTTCACAAAGTTAGAGTCTGTGGGGCAATATTAGAATCACTTCATGGTTAGCTCTGTATAGGATTATGTATGTCTCTTACAGAGGACTTGGGTTCCGTAGTAGGAGAAACGCTCGCACAGTTCAACAAATGCAACGGTGTAGACGACCCAGGGAATCGGAGCTGAGATGCGACGCAAGGCATTGGGGCCGTGAAGTTCATCAATGGTTGGGTTCTCGTCACCCGCGCCAAGGTCGTACGACTCAGAGATGATACTTTGCCGGGGCTTCTCATTGGTAACTAGAACCCTTTGCCCTGTGGTGGTGGTAACGGGCTCGATGTCCTGAATACCGAGAGATTCCGAGCCTGGGCCTGTGGCCTGAGGCACCATCTTGGATAAAAAAGAGAAATCAGTGCAGGATAGGGAGGAAAAGTAATGGGAGGGGACGCGTGTGGAAGAGAGAAAAAAAAACAGGAGAAGGAAAAGAGCGAAGAAATGAACAAGTGAGAGTCACTCACATGTTGTGACTGAGCTCAGGAGGCAGATAAACGGACAAACTTACGGATCCTCGCTTTGGTCGTTATAACACAGTCATGGCTTTTTTATACCCTGTTGCCATTACGACAAGACTTGGCTGCTCTTGGACGGAAGATAGAGCTCAACATCGGATGAAGGAACCTTTGAATGAACCAACGCATCAATTAAAGAATGCGACATATCGAATGTACTGTACTATGTAACCTCGTCAGGCAGTAGCATTGATTGTAATTCTTCTGACTAGAAGGGAAAATAACATCAACACCAATGGCGCGAGCCTTTTTTTTTTACGAAGGATTCTCCAGAGGTTAAACTGACCCTCAATACAGTCGGACTGAGGTATCTCCCATGATCTAAAAGTCATCTTTTGAGTAATCTAGAAGAAACAAGTAAGCTTCAAGTGAGGCACGGCAGGATTGAAGTGGAACGAAACTTCAGACAAGGAGAAAGTGCAAAAGTGAATAGCCCTCGGTAAACGTCTGAGTGGAAGGCTTGCGAAAAGCTCGATACCTGCTTTTTGATGTGTCTTTTAAATGGTCTACTAAGATGCTAAAATATCATTATGGATTCTCTGACTTTGATTTAGAATCATACCACTTGCCTCAGTTAGCCTGCAGTATTATATATGACAATATTCCATGTTCACGGGTGACTGCTTTAAAAACAACCCTGAGAAAGAAAACCCAGGGCTGCAAAATGAAGATTTCAAGGTGAACCTACTAGTGTATGACAGACCATCACTATATAGGTTACATACTCTGTGGTTTGTGAGCAATTTTGAAAGGTCTACAATACTGACTACACAGTTCAGTATACTCCATCAGGCCAGATTCCCTGTGGTACAAAGTACCATGGCCAAGTTCATTGCATGGGCAGAGAACCCTAGAGGTGATAACAGGAACACGTATGTCATGCCGGCAAACCAATGAGATTTCGTTTAATTCAGCAGAGAACGTCCGAAGAACAAGACTAGAATGCCAAGCCAAGATGGCAAGTACTCTAGGTCACAGAGTATGCTCATCTTCGCAGCCCTGCCTTTAGCCTATAGAGTGTATAAGCTTGGTACGAACTCAACGGCCCAAGTCTACTTCATGTTCCATATAAACCCACTCGTTTCGTCCCTTGGATACTTAGACTAGCACTCACCTTCGGGACGACTCACTTATCTTAGCTAGGATGTCGTCATAAGACAATGCCAGGCCATCAGCTCTCGGTTCCTATCCCTATTCGATTTCGGCTCCCAGAACATGAACACGTGCCAGCTCAAGTGACTCCTGTAAGCACACCGGGATACTTCCGGGGTGTTTGAGTGCCCCATAGGTAATTAAGGCATCCCACCAGGAAGCGAAAATACTCATTGACCCTATACCGTCATAGCCCGCTTGATAAACTCCGATTTAGTCTCAGTTCTCTGCATCTTCCCCAGATTCGGTGTAACCCAAGTCCGGGGTCGGGTTTTACGGTTCTTGGCGGCTGAGAGACCTTGAATGAGGACTGTGTGGATGCCGGTTCCAACAGCCACATCTCTATCACGCGACAATGTGCAATCTCTGGGCCATTCGATTTAGCCAAAAACATTCTTTTTCCGTTTTTGTCCCCAAAATTTGATTTCCCTTTAGATTGAAACATAAAGGTGTTGATCTTGGGAGGTCAAGTGCTCTCGTGGTCTGGCTCTGTACATTTCGACGGGATAAAGGGACACGGTTATTTTTTTTTGTGACATGGAAATGTGGAGATTCGGGTTCTTGGTGCTGGTTAGAAGACTCAAGCGGGACACATTTACAAGCTCCGCATGACAGTGAATGTTGTATAACAATGATGTGCAAATGCCGATCTATCTCAGTGTGGGTCAAGATTTATATGCAGCTAAACTCGAGAAGTGAAGACAGCCGAAACAGTTGCACGACTTACTATACGATCGATCGATCTGTAGTCTAACGTCATCCTAGCATCCAAAAATACGCAAAGCCAAATATAAAGATCCACGAAAAAGACAACAATCAAAATCAAATTCCCCAAAGTCAAAAAGCCATGCTGCGCTACTCCTGTCCATTAACCCACTAGAAAAAAAAAAGACAGGACGCTATGCAATGAGAGACCAAAAGAGAAGAGTCACGCGCAGTGCTTGAAGAGGCAAAGTCGAGTTATAGCCATCATCAATCTACCACGCGGCGTGACCACCATCCATGCGTAGGTCGCTTCCAGTCATGAAGCTGCTCGCATCGCTGAGCAAGAAGACAGCGGCGCCACGGTACTCTTCCGGTCGGGAGAGCCGACCAAGCATGTTCTCTTTGGGCCACTGGTCTCGACGCTCAGGGAACTCGATGAACAACTTCTCAACCATAGCAGTAATAATATAGCCAGGAGAGATGGTGTTGACGCGGATGTTGTAAGTGCCCCATTCGGCAGCGAGGTTGCGGGCGAGCTGGAGGACAGCAGCCTTGCTAGCGTTATAGGCGGGGCAAATAAGACCCTGTAGGAGGAAAATGTTAGATCGTTGATAGCCAACCAGACGAGGAGAATGTGACATAGGACGGGGAAAAGATTCCATGACAGGAAAAAAAAAAAAAGTCTGGGCAGTGACACACTAGGCGGATACCGACAACTAAAATGCCGAGTTGAGGTGGAAATGATAATAGATGAGACGAAAAAGGAAAAAAAAAACGTGGCAACGTACTCTATTGGCAATGGTACCGCTCATAGAAGCGATCAGGGCGATGCTACCACCATTTCCGAAGCGAATCATTTGCTTCGCCACAGCCTGGGAAGTCATGAACACTCCCGTAACGTTGACCTCAAACATAGTGTTGCTGTCCTTAGCTGAATATTCGAGGGCTGGAGTCTCCTGCTGGATACCCGCTGCGGCAACGAGACCATCCATACGTCCCTCTTCATTGGCGATGGTCTCGATGACACTGTTGAGAAGTTCTGTGTCACGCACGTCAATACGACGGTAGTGCAACGCGGTGCCAAGCTCCTTTGCGCGCTGCTGGATCTGCTCGAACTCGGGGGCCTGGTAATTGGGTGATGGTTAGTGTACTGCTGTAATGGAGGCAGAAGATCCTGGTGATGATATGAACCAGATCTGAGAACTGTTGAAACCTACCGGCTCTTCCAGACGGTCGAGTGCATATACCCTCGCTCCGGCCTCCAATAGAGCCTCTGCTTGGACCAATCCTAGGCCCCGGGCAGCACCCGAGACCAACACCACCTTTCCAGCGAGATTGAACTCGGGCATTCTGGACTTCTGACCCATCCAGACGGGCTGGGCGTTCATAGGAGCAGTGGGAACTGTAGTGGTTTCGATAGAAACAGACATTACGATGTGATATACTAGGTTTCAGGCGAGGGTAGTGGCGACAGAGAGGATATTGATAAAGGCGTCAAGTATGATATCTGACTCTTTCATGTACAAATAAAGAATGGAAGATGTTTCAAGTGATGAACCATGGACCAGAAAATGAACCCTCCTTAAATACTCAGTTTGATGACCGGAAAAGTCAGGCCGGGCCAAGACCAGAGCGCCCCGGAGGTGTCTCGTGAGCAGGAAGGAACTAATTAGTAGCCCAAATAGGAAATCCAGATTTGGACCAAGGGTACTGCAGAGCGAATTGAGTCCAGACCTCCTGGAATGCAGGCTAAACGGCTGTGGCGAGATCTACGCAACCCTACAAATAGCCTCAACACATGTAATAATCTTTTATGTAGAATTGCTAAGATATTATATCTGATCTCATCAGTAAAGAAATTTGCTACTTTTCATGTTTTCATGTGAGGATACTTGTTCAGATTTGCCTCATACCCATTTTCGAGCAATTATATCGACTGAAAAAATTCTATTAAATTCAGGAATACATCATTTAGGAGAATTATCAGTCACCAGACATGATAAAATCCACCATATTTTTTGATCGACGATGGCCGGTCGGAAGCCAAGGGATAGCCGGATTTCTCGTTTGGGAAACCCGTCTGGGGAAGAACCCGGGGAACCCCAACGCCACTCTAATTTTCGACTTTCCACACTACTGTTCTTTCTTCGTCTTGGTTATTTTTGTACAAAAAATCCAGGTGACCCCCAAGCCCCCTGGAGAGAATAACACATACAGAGTACATCATACACTGCTGAGCCTCCAGCCGGGTCTTCTAGAAATCTTCCAAGCCTCCTAGGACTATCTGGGGTCAGGTGGCTCTTGGCAGATTAATGAGTCCCTACGAATCAAACTCGTCCATATGGCCTAGTGATGTCTGTTCCTGTCCCATCGCCCCGACTCCAAGGTGGCCCGGGCGAAGAGAAATTCATTGGTCAATTCCCCTCAAGTCTGATAATTTCTTGGTGAAAATCGAGAGTATAAAATTCAACGTCTCAGATCTCATATTAAGATGTAACCACTAGTGGTTCAACGTTGCGTTGTTCCATAGTTCCACCCGAATAGCTAACACTGGATACTCCGGATTCTCGATTCTCCACGCGGGGGAAGTACCGACACTAAAATTAGGACAGGAACTTTGAAATCCGAGTCCAGGCTTCATGCCGATACTTAGATAGGACTAAGGCCATATAGTATAGCCTATCTGACTAGAGCCCTGCACGAGGAACTGCACTAGTAACCAACATAAATAAGCCAAAAACAAAACACCCCCTTGTGACCATCAGAATCTTCCATTCCTAAAATGCTCCTTACTCAAATGGGAGATTCCGAGGTTTCCACTTTTTTCCTTTTGCTCTCGTGATATCTAATTTCCCCATGGTAATTTCCATAAGCTTTGGCCCTCATCTTTGCTTTGTTCGTCGGAATCTGGTCTGGCCAGTTCTTCTTCCCCCTGTCCTACACATTTCGGGCCCACCCCGAGTGGCTCGGTGGTTTCCCAACCCACAGGAGCTGTTCGTGGGTTGTGCATGAGTCACTGTTGTCGGTGAAAAAGTGGTTGGCTAAGAAGGGAGAATCTCGTCCATTTGAGGTGTTTCAAGTGCCGCCGAGTCCTATCTTTTTTATCTTGACTACGAGCATTGACATGCCCAAGTGCTTATGTAGGTATCTTCTGCCTACCCATGGAGGGTTAGAAAGTGATCGGTGTTGCATTGTTTTGCAGTCACTGCATTGCTCTCTCTCCCTTCTATCGCCATTGAATTTCTGTTGTCTACGGCCATCTTTCGTATGGTACGCAGTTAGATTTAACAACATTTGAACCTTGGAAACACGCATAGCCCATGATAACCTTCCTTGGGACATTGAATTGAGAATAAAGCTTAATCTTGAGAGTTTCAGGATCATGTCCCGGAGTGAGATGCCGCCAAGTCTCGTCCACGTCGTGCCATGTGAACGTTGGACTCTAGAGAAACCCAGCGAATCAAGCGGGTCCTGCCGAACCCTACGTCTAGGCTAAGGGCATGGATCTGCATCCGTTCAAGGTGGATCGCGATGTTTCTATTCAAGTAGGAAAAGCAGATCAAAGCATCAGGTCCCATAGCAAGGACCAATCGGGTCTTGCATTCATCAGGCCAATGCCACAACACCATTCCAAAGAAACCGAAGGAAGTCGAATTGATTAGATTATACAAATGAGGCAAAATGCCGCAGCCACCAATTGGACGATATGGCACATAAAACAAGAGTCACCCCAAGATACCGAATAGTCCTTCAGGGCTATTTTTTATGTACAAGGTTTTGCTCTCTTCCCGTTTCCATACAAGTACAGTTGCTGAACCCCAGGCTGGAGTAACAGAAGGAACAGAAAAGATCGGGATAAACAATGTGCTATCCAATGCCAGGAAGATGCACGAGAAAAAAATGGAAGAAAAATGCCTGTCCAGCCACAGTAGGGGAAATATTTTCAAGGAAATGAGGACCCTCGAGCATTCACGCATAACTACGTGATGAAAATAACTCCGTATTAACGCCAACCCCAAGGCAAGAGGAGTAGATATCATGAGATGTAAATAGGCCACAGGGCCACAAGAAAAGGGGGGAGATAATGCAATGCCAAGCAAACAGAACAACTACCAAGTCCGTTCAATTTTGGTTACTTCCGCGAAGCTAGCACATACCTAGGCTTCACGGTAACCCCAAATGCGTTTTTGTTCACTCACCCACCACTTGCCAACTAGCTCAGCATCCTTGAGCCATTCAGCAGACTCCTTGCCAAATTTAACATTAACCTCTTTGATAAGGGATGCAAGAGTCCACGCCTTGGTAGGGTGGGTTTCACCGGGGTCTTTGCCTAGGTGGGTGAATGTGTACTCAAAGCCATCCTTCAGGGGAAGGATGAGACGGTAAGGAACATCAGCTGCCATGACGGAGAGCATCGAGCCACCGGCGTTAATCAGTCCCATGTTCCAAACGATGCGCTTGGCTGGGCTTTCTGGGTGGGACCGGGCTTCGAGCTGGTTGTCTACTCCTTCGTGCTCTGGTTGCTCATCAGGTGGGGGATGGTGGTGGCCATGGTCCCGGCGGTGCGGCGGTTCCTCCATAGAGGGGAGGAAAGGACGTATTAGAGACTGGCCTTGATACTCTGGGAGGAGGGAAGAGGCGATCTCGGAGTCGCGCTCGTCCAGGGAGTTGGACTGGACAAGAAGATCCAGGATGGTAGGGACAATGGAAAGGGCGGTTGCGTTGGCGGTGATGTCTACTCGAGGCATGTGCGGGTGGTGGAAAACCAATGGTACGCGGAAATTGCTAATGTGGCCGTTCTCATATGTTCCGGTCATGTCCTTGTTATCTTCACCGAAGGCTTGGCCATGGTCTCCGACGACAACGACTAGGGTCTCGTTTGCAATACCAGTTTGGTGGAGCATGTTCATGATATCGCCGAGCCAGATATCGACGAACCGGGCGGCATTCAGGTAGTCGTTCATCAGGTCGTGGTTGACGCTTCCTTGGTCCCCCATGTATGATTCTTTCTCGAAGTCTTCTGGCGTGCTCCAGGGGTGGTGGGTTGTGCTGGTGACATGCGAAAGGAACATGCGGGTCTTGTTATTGGCAGCCTCCTCGAAGAGGTCCATCAAATAGGGTCGGAGCTCAGTCTCCGCAAATCCGAAGTAGTTGATCTCTTCGCCCTGAGCTTTGTGCTTTGCCTGGGGAGCTAGCATAGTACTCTTGACCACCTTGTGCTTAAAGCCCATGTTTTGGTTTAGGATATCCTGACGGTCATAGTCATCGGTAATTGACTGCATAAATACGGACTTCCAAGGGTTCTTGAGAGCCGCGGATTCGCTTTCAGAGGAAGCGTTCAGGAAGCGCTTTTCCGATTGCGACTTGCCTTGATTGAACAGATCAAAAATCTGAGGCAAGCAAGGCTGATAGATTTCAAGCATAGACTCCTCCAGAAGATCCACCGGTAAAGGATTCACACCACAGTGACTTCCCAAAACACTCTTGAACGTCAGGGAGCTACCCGTCACGGCGCCACGGACATTAAGTCCACCCATACCTTCTTGTGGTGGGGTGTGCCACGAAGAGTGGCTCAAGTCGACTTTATTCCCCTTGCTATCGGTTGCGTACTCGCCGGTCAACTGTTGTGCGACCGGGGTCATGTTGACCAGACGGTCAATTGCCCCGTTGATTTTCTGCTTCTTATGGGACGCGAGAAGACCCTCGAACAATGGGGTACCCTGTTGTGTGGGGAACAGCTCCTTGCGGCCACTTTCGAGCGTTAATAGCACTACATGGTTGACCTCAACGGAGTGCTCTTTAAAAGCCTTTTGTAGGGGCTCATAAATTTCACCGCCCAGATTCGTGACCATTAGCGGGTCGTTCTTCGGGTTATAGAATGCGCCCTCATCACCGGGACAAACAAAAGAATAGTGATTGTCTTTTACTGCACGATCGCTCGGGCTGAGATCCCAGCGGCTAAATCCCGAGGGCGGGTTTTCGGGGAGCCATGTAGCCCGTGACCACTGTTCCACAAGCGTCGAGTCCGGTTGGAATTGAGGACGGGAGACGCCGTTTTCATTCGTGACTAAAGGAAATGGCCTGGCGGGCTCGCGGCAGCCCTCCACCGTGGCCGATTTTTTTTGGAAAGCATCGAGCAATGTCAGCGGCAAAGCTCCAGATAGATGATCATACGGTATAGCGGGCCTAGTTAGTTCCAAGAAAATGAGCGACACACAGATGGCGACTGTGGGAATAGTGCGACGGAATGACCGGATGTCTATCGAGGCCATGCACGATTTGCTGGGGGTGGAAATCAATGTATAACGCGCTTTGTATCCCCCCACGCACAGGTCTCGGATTGCCTGCAAGCCTAGACCGGTGATGTTGTACAAATGCGAATGAAGCAACCATGCCATTAGTCCGAGGACGGTGGCTGCAGCGGATACAGTCGAGACACCGCTAAGGAGGATTTTCATGGCCGCCGGGTCGCTCAGGAAGCTACCGCCAGCTGCCCAGGCGACCTCTGCACCGGTCTGCATGAAGAATCCGAACTGGATGGAAGAAGCACCCCATGTGATTAGGCTGGTACTCATGTTAGATGATGTTGCGCATATTCCATGTCCTCTATTTGCGGTGTTCGGTATTCGGTATTCGGGATAAACCTACGATAGTGCCCCTCCCAACCCAGTTGAAAGCCATTGCCAACGACTCTCTGGTGTCTGGAAGCGTAACAAGACTCGCGCGAAAATGATAACCAACACATCAGGTAGGACAAGGGTGGGCGAATAGAGGACGAAGTAGAGGAACGGTAAGGACTGAATATGTAGCGCAATATGTAAGGCCTTTGAGGCGAGACCACTCACGACGAGTGCCGAGAAAAGAAAGGGCGGCAACGGTGGTAAGAGAGCGAAGATGGACATGTTGAAATCATTCCATTTGTACAGTGGAATCGCGCAGTTGGCAAAGGAGGGGGTCGAGGAATGTCGAAATGGTAAACAAGAGCCCAGGCAAAGAAGACGAGAGAGGAGATCTCGGAAGGAAAGGGAAGATGAAAAGGGTCCGGTTTATTCTTAGATATGTATAACAGAACAAGGCCAGTTAGGCGATAGGAAATTGTGCACGCGACTTGACTAACCTGAGGCTCCAATTTAGTCCAAATGCTTGGTTTCTCTTTTTTTCGCTTTTTCTTTTTTTTTATTACAAAAATTACGTTGCTAGAACCACTTTTCCCGTATTAAAAAGATCATCATCTCCACCTCTAAAATTGGCTCCCAGTGCCCAAGTGGGCCTCATGAGAGACATGGCCGCTATACAGGTTGTTGTGTCTAAGTGGGTGCCACTGGGTGGACCCTGCAATACACCATTCCAAAATGACTCGCTACTTCGGTGAGACCGAGCACTAGGAATACAATACAATACACCACAAACCCAAATTCACCCAATGACATCAAACTATACACCTTCTTAGACTTTCCAAGGTGGTTACAATCTCGGAAGGTTCCAAGGTTCCAATCGTCTCTTCGAAAAAGAGAAATCTGGCCGCCAGTGTGTGCATAAAATCCGGGGAAAAAAAAGGGAAGAGTTGCGCCGGTGTCCCGTTTCCCCCCCCCCCACCTTCTAGTAACATCGCCCCTTTCTATTAATAAACATGATGCCTGGATCTAAGAGATCCCATGTCGCTGAGATCTAATGGTGGAGAGCACCGGGGATAACACACGTTGTCTCTGTACGTCTCCAACATTCAGGTAGGAGATTAGATAATCCAGGGGTATGGTTAGAGCTTAACTAGTTATCTGCAAAGGCCTTGGCCTAAATATGCTTGGCGGTAGACCTTACAGGAGACTTGCAACATCTAAAACACCTATACTCCGTACGTCGAGACCTGGATCTTCCAAATAGGACGACTCATACGGAGTACTCCGTATGTTAATTTTTGACATGAGTGATTTTCGTATTTGGCTTGCAGGATCCGAGAATTCCGTAACTACATCATAATTATTTCAAGTGTCGACACTTGGGCCCCCCAGACTAAAGATGAGGTAGCATGCTCATCTACAAAGTATGAAATCTTCAACCGCTTCGGCTCTTGAATTAAATACGTTTCCGTAAAGGCTCTGTATCATCTATGCCTGTTTCTTTTCCCCCGGGGTTACCTCACGTCAGATGTATGTGATGGTAACCAACAAAATCACAAGACAATTCTGCTGATCCTTCGAGGCAACACGCTCCTTGACCCAATCAGCAATAGCCCTCCCAACGTCCAACCACACCTTCTCCAAATCCACCTCGCCCATTTTCTGAGTCATCTTTAACTCAACTGCAACCGCTCAACCCAGATCTCAATGCCTATTTGATTCTAAAGAGCTCCACATAAGTAACCGGCGCATCGGAGATGTTCCACGCACTCTTCTCATCACCCCCAGGATGCCTCATAATGCCCCCCTCAGATTGCCGCGACAGATCTTAATTCTATTCCGGTAAAAACGGACCTGTTTTCTCGGCCCTGGGATTGCAGTACACACTGATCTTGCCAGGTACCGGTCTGGTTTCTGTGGAGAATTAGGGCGTCACGTAGTGGCGGTGCGGACCGGGCCGTTGAGGAGGAATATCACTTTGTCCGCGAGCTCAAGTTTGAATTCCATTGCTACGTTTGGCTGGGCGAGGGCTTCCATCGGCGCTTTTGCTTATGGGTTCTGCTTGGCCATGTGTCCGCGCAGGATGTCGGTCGGGATTGTGTCATCGTCCGCAGTCGATAGAGGTACATTGAGGACGAAGGGGATGTGGCTAGATTGGATGGATGAGTAGATCGGGGGGTTGTCGCGGATGCCGAATGGGTTGTCACGGATGAATTGCTGTAGGACGGGAAGTTGTCCCTCCTCGTAGACGACGCGGAGACACATAGTATTCGCGACTTTCAACGGGGAAGGCCCGAGAGCTGAAGATGTTCAATCGCTTTCAGAGTACGTACGAAAGAGATGTTAGGGCAGATCTAAGTATGCGGGAGTTCATCAATTAAATCTGGCATAGCATCAGGTGTAATTTAGATCGCATCCCGCTAACTTCTTAACCTGGAGGGCTGCCATCCTGTCTGTGTTGTGGGATAGTCGGTACCGAAACATCACCCCTGGGCCCAATGTTATTTGATGAATTCGGGAAATCAACTCAAAGAGGATCGCCAATGCTGTCAGTTATCGATTTTAGTTTATCTATACAAATGTAGTCACAACGCTAGGGGCATATTCTACGTACAACCTGAATTCACAATCAACACACTAGAGTTAACGATTCCATTGACGGTGCCAAGTCAATCCATGATGGAACACGACCAGACATGCGTCAGAAGCATTGACCAGCCGCGACTCAAGTGGCCATGTAAAGATGTTGCGCCGCTTCGTTCAACAAAGATTAAAATGTGGTGTTGAGGTTCCGCAGGGCGTGAACACTGGCCTGAAATTCGAACCTCTTGAACAACCAGATTTGCAGTACCATCCCGATCAAAGGGTCCACCCCATGCCACGCAAAGGGCACGCTGTTAAGGTGGAACTTGTGAGGCTGCAGTCCCAAAATCTGTGCGGCCCTGTCTACAATGTGTGTTCCAAAATTATCCAAGGCTTCGGACTTGGACTTGCGTGCAAGGGGTGCAGATGCGATGAATGACTGAGCCCCGTCATGAGGTCCTTGTGCTACCTCACCTTCGACGACCATCGTCAGATGGGTTGGAGTTTTATTTCCCGATGTCAGGAGGTCCCTCGGATATTTTTAGAACCATCCGGTCCTTCGAGCTAGAAGTTGAAAAGGCCAAAGAGGACAGTTGTAGACACTTGGAGTGAAGAATTTGATTTTATCATGAGTAGGGATGACTGGACCAAGTTACTATACAAAGTTTGCATAAAATCAGGAAGAATGACACCAACCAATAACCCAAAATGCACCAAAGACACGAAATGATATCTTGGGAGAAAACCGCTAAACAACAGAGCTCACCTGGGTACAGAACGAAGATCACGTAATGCGCGACACAATCTCATCCTTTCCTAACCGCTCCAAAACCCCCTTCTTCAACCCGAGGAACCGTTCAATATCCCCACGACGCATACCCTGCCTATCACGCATCGTCAACACCTGTTGGATAGTCAGGGCATCCAGGAACGATCTCCCCGGGTGATTCGCATAACCGAAGTACTCAGCTTCTCTTTCGGCAGCTTCTGTGAGACGCTGCCGAGCAGTGACAACTAGGAGTGCCGGGTTGGAAGCATGTGGAAAGACAATTTGCTTTGATCCAGGGAGGTTAAAGGTACTTGAGTTCGAGAACGTAGGTGATGGGTTGACGGGGCCTATTGACCGGAGGGAGGCGGCAAAGTCAGGATCTCGACCGTCCAGGTCAATAGCTGGAGAGTCATTAGCAATTGTTTCCTTGCTGCTCTTGCATTTGTTGCATGAAAGAGGCTTGAAAGAATCGCTGGCGACCGTACGTACCATCAGACTTCACGCTGGATGCTTGCTCCTTTGAATGGTATGTTGGACCTTGAGAGGGAGGCGCAGGTGCACTAGCAGGCGAGGGACTAGCCGTGGGCTTGGGTGCGGGGGTAGGCGTAGGTGCAGACGCTGCTTTGGTTTCTTTCGGAGCTTTGCGCAGGCCCCTCGGTGGAGGAGCCGACTGTTTGGGGTACTGGCGCCGTGATGCTGCGCCAACTGCTGACTTAGCGGGCTTTGAAGCAGCAGAACCCATCGAGAATGATGAGCTGTGAAATCAGAAGTGTTGGTGGAAGACGTTGCGGCTTGTTGCGGAGATTTCGGCGGAGGTCCCGAAGGCGTCTTGGCATTCGATCTGGACGTTCGGGTCTTTTGCCAGCAGAACGAACAGTCGACACTTTTTGGCTGATCTACAAACCAAAGTATACGAGTCATGCGAACTAGTTCTTTGTAGAGTTTACAGACGAATTGATGACGTAGAAATTCTCAAAGATACCCAACAAGCACTCTTTACGCACAGTGCTGGTTGGAATCAAGGCCTGATCTGCGTTTTGCATACTATCCTGGGTAGGCGGTAGATCCAGCGGTAATACACGCCCTACTTTATGACGTCTAAGAGCATTTAGTTAGTCAACAAACAGCTTCCATGGGAGAATGAAAATGGGGTCATGAGTTGTCTAGCGAGATTGACTGAAGACCAATAAAATGTACTCAAACCAACTGATCTAAAATTTCAAGCGGAATGTTGCAGTGGAGTTGATAGGGAATGTACATGTACGTTGGCGTGGCTGCGTATCTGGGGATCTCCAGCCGAACCTGTGTTACAGACAACGTGTAGAGAGATAACTTCGTTTGAAGATCAATGGGTCATTCGTAAATTTTCGGTAAGGCACCTGTGATTTTGGAAAAAAAATTTAAACTAGGACCACCGCAGCTAAGATACAACACCATCGGAACCCAATGCGACACAGCGGTTTGAGACCACCGTTAGAGGACAACCAGGACCACCGCAGATGAGTTCATGTATGCTCTGGAATTTTACCGGAGACCAGCAAGGCGCCGGCCCTGCACTTCACCCAGCGCACGGCTGCCACTGACAAATGCGATCGCACCGACAACGGCCATCGCGGGGAGGATCTGGAACAAGTTCCACGAGGTATAGTAGAGGAAGAAGATCCCCTCAAATGAGACCAGGGATCCGAGGAAGACGGCGTGCGAGAGAGGGGCAGATTTCAATGCGGTGGGTAGGTGGTTGATGTTGGCGCCGAGGAAAAGCCACTAGAGACGATCAATAAGCAAAGTTGTTGGCACAGCAATGAGATCAACTTACCAAGCCAGCAAGAGCAGGAATAGTAGCGCCGACCATGCCAACAAATGCCAACGTGAGGACAATTGGCGGGCTAGACGCGGGATCCTTGAAGATATGGTGGATCTCGGGCTTCTTGCCGTATCGCTCGGTTTCAACGGTCGGCACGGCCTCTTCAGGGTTATGATCAATCGACAACTTGAACACGGAGCTGTCGTAGGCCTCGGAGTTTCCAAATCCACCAATGACAACATGCGCATCAACTGGACTGGACAGGGACAGGAATTGAATAGGCAGGTCCTTCTGGGTCTGGAGTGCATGTGTTAGCTGCGCAGAGGAAAATCAGGTTCGGAGGTTGCATACCAATTCGACTCTTGACTTGCCATTATCCTTGACACTAAAAGGGTAAGAGATATCCAATCCAGTCTGAGCATCCTTGAGCAAAAGGAAAGCCTGGTCTGGCCGCTTTGGAGAGTTTTCTTCCTGGGCTGTCAAGGTGATGCGTAGGGTATCAGCACCGAAAAGGGAAATGGGCTTGGAGAGCGGCTTAGATGCAGTAAATCTATTTTTGAGGGTGTTTGTTAGTTTCAAGTACCGTCTATTTGAGTCGAAATACATACTGTTCCTTAAATCCTCCATTGACACCAGCACCTTTAGCTTGAACGGCCACGGTGGCATCAGTAAAGCCCCAGGCTGTGGCGGCGGCGCCGGGCAAGGCAGCTGCAGCCATTAGGCAGAATGGAGCGGTGGCCTGCCACAGATGCATTGTGAAAGAAATAACGAATAGTAAACAGAAACAACAGTAAACAGCTGTAGAGAGCTCAAAGAGATGATGGAGGATGGAGGAGTAGCAGAATAAGGCGGACAAGTGAAACCGATAAGCGCCGATCAACCGTAGCCCTAATTTCTTTTCTGCTTGATCTCAACATCTTCCATCACTTTATTTCGCCTTGTCTGCCACAAATACAACTCCAACGTCCGCATAATCCCTACGAGCTTGTTTGTGAATCCTTTAGAAACATAACTACGGATGGTTGTACCCCTGATTCCGTGAGTTCTGCGCCTATAAGTCGGGCCCTAATTCCCAATTTCTCCCCTTCCGCGCACTGCGGTCTTCTGACGTCGGCCCTGCACTTCACCTGTGCCCAACATATATTCTTATTCCTACACCCTAGTTGCCTGTTATTGGAGGTATTATCTAGTCTTTCATTTGTACAGTTCATGCGCCCTATTTACCGCCCGTTGTATTTGCATGGATAGATTATACTGACAACTTTCGGGCCATTTAGCTTTAATTCACGATGCCTCCCAAGAAGGGCCAACGTAAGTCGATGCCTGCGCGCATCAATAAAGAGCCTACATTGACACCTTCTCGGCGCTCCCCCCGAGTACCTCCCCCGTCAAAAAATTCAAATGAGAACGTGCAACCCGCCAAAACGTTGAACCTTACATCCGCCTCTCCACAAGACACTTCTTTCAATCTTCATTTTTACACCCCGAACACGCCTGTTCCAAGTAATCAGTCTGTTCCAAGTCCTAGTTCACGTGGGAAATCTCCTGAAACACCTTCTTCACGTCGGCGGACCTTTCAGTCTCGTCCGTCACGTCTTTCAAACGTTTACACTCCAGCCCTAGAAGCCTCGGCCACCGACCCGGGGAGTCGACGGACGAGGAGAACAGCTCTACTTGAAACACCCAAGAAAGAGGTCTCAGAAATAGACTTTTCAGAGAGCACTGGTGGCGCCAGCTGGACGGTTGACCAGTGCATGGGCAGCTTTGAATCCGAAGGAACAGTCGATGGTCTCTCGAGCCCTACCAGTGCCTCCGATATGCGGAACTCATCCCGGGTTCGTAAGCCCACCATGAGGGCAATTGAATCTTTTGAATCAACTAAGAAGAAACCTCGCCGCAAGAACATGACAGTGTCCACCCCGACCGTGGAAACTCCTGCTCCTACCCCTGCTGCCCCTGCTACCCCCGTGACTACCAAGGTTGCGAAGAACCATATATCGAAGCAACCAATGAGAAAAACCAGAAAGTCAAGGAGAGTGACCAACTTGAACATGCGGAAAAATGCCGTCTTGATCGGTTTCGATATTGACGTCAAAGTGGCTGGCAAGAAGCTGTATGACCTAACTGTTCATTCCCTAAACCCTGACTTTACTCTCCCTTTCAATTTCCCCGTGTTCTGGGAGCAGCAGCGAAGTGAATACTTCCGTCGCCAAGATGAAGAAAAATATGGCGTCGACATACCCACCACTGAAGCCACCTTGCCGAGTGATATCGATCTTGACGTTGAAATGATTGAACAAGACCTCACAGCGCCTATTATCGCTCCTTCTTCTCCCACTTCCCCCACTCCTCCCACTGCAGCCACCAACGGCTCAAGCATCCTGAGCTACAAAAAGCAGTCTGACAGCAAGGTCAACAACGATGGCTGGATTCAAACTGGCTACATTAACTCCTACGGCGAAGAGGTTACTCTGATTTCCGAGGAATGCCACCCCTATTATCCGGCTCATACTTACGGCTACGAAGGCCTTCCTTTCCCTCCAGTGCGCGCCAGAACCAAAGAGCAAGCCGAGGCCGATGCCGCTCACAGCTTTGCCCCACTCATGGGAGACCGTAATCTCCCAATAGAGGCTGTGGCTCCATTCATTGCTGAAAACGTGGAGGCGGAGAAGGCCAGGGCTCTGGCTCGCACTCCTGTGCCAGCTCCCACAACCAAGAAGCCCCGCGCCCGAAAGCGTCGTCAGACTGCAGCTGTAGATGCAGCAGACGAACCCACCGCCGCTGCTCCCGCCATTACTACTGCCGAGACTAGCGGACGCAAGTCACAGCGTCGCCGTCGCCAGACTGCCCCGGCTACCACTGTCCACTCTCCCGCATCTCCCACCTCTCCCACCTCTCCCATCTCTCCCACATCTCCCACCTCTCCTTCTCCTCCCCCGACGACTGCGACCCAAGTCCAGTCTTCGGGCCCCGCTGCCCCTGTCGCCCCCGCTGCCACCGAAGGCGACAAGCCTAAGGTGCAGCGGCTCCGGCTGACCTTGAAGCCGGCGCTCAAGACTGAGGCCTCCGGGGTTGAAGCATCTGCTTCTAACCCCGCCATGCAGTCCCCTTCCTCCCCCGTCCCCTCACGTGCGCCGTCCTCCGCACAAACCAATAACCGCCGCCGCCGGGGCATGTGAGGCCCCGGTGAGGGCAAAGTGATGAGGTTTCCTGCCCGGCAATAGCCGGGCAATGATCTTCAATTAATTGTCTTTTTCTTTGTTCTTCTATCCTTTTTTCTGTTGTATGATTACCAGTTGGCGTTTCAAGCATGTCTGATTAGCATTGCAGGAGCATGCCATGGAGTTCACCATGGTGAATTGTGAGATTTTTCAGTTGTCTTTTATCATTGCCATTAGTATTCCTTACTTTCGTAATCATTTGCCCTCATAGTCTCTGCAAAAAGTAGCCCTGGTAAATCTGAAATTCTGCGGATAGCCCTCACATCCCACTCAATTTCCGCTTACTCTTTGCTTACATTTCATTTTCCTTGTGCGATTATAGTGACACTTTATACTGGTAACACTTGTGGTAGGTGTGATGCCAGCACTTTGCTTGAGAAGCAACTTTCATCTTAAACCTAGGGTATCACACCAGTCTGATAGTTGGAAACAAGTCTACTAAACCTTGAGAACAACCAGACTTATATGATGGTCTTATCGCAAATAGTTTAAAATGAATTTTTCAGATGTCTTATGTACCAATTTTGGGACATGCCCTCTTGTTTTTGGCAACGCGCTAAACAAAGAGTTTACAAATGGGGAGCTAAAAAGGACCAGAGAAGATACAGCAGATTAAAATCCTAAGGGTCAAGTATATCGTTTAACAAAGTCTATTTTGTTAGACAGCCAGGGTATATAGATGCTAATGGTCTGAGGTCAGATACAATGTCCTATTAAACACTTCATCTTGATGCTTAGTTGGTCTACCGATAAACCCCTAAAAGATGGCTATCACGAAAGAGAATTAGGAAGAATAGCTCTGCACTCTATGCTCAACTCCATCATTCTAAGGTTTTCATGGCATCTAAATAAAGGTTGTATGCATTGCATCCACTCGGTGCATGGTGCATGGTTAAATGCTGCAACATCCGAGGCTTCTCAAATAGTTAGTCTTCATAGTGCACAAGCAATCGTTACGATTATCTTTATATCTATGTAATTTACCAAATCACCTTTTTCACCTAGCGAAAAGAACTCAAGAATTCAGGATTATAGCCACTTGAAAGGCGAGAGAAAGTACAAAGACCACTTTGTTCTTAAGATGAGAAGCTCACACGTCTATATGTCAACCCACAGATTTGATACGTAAACTGCCCAAGCAAAATGAGTAGAAAGTTGATTTTAAGCGAGCGCAATGAAATTGGACAGTGGTCAGTAGATAATACGTGTTCAATGGGAGTGTAGTGGAAATCTACATAACAGAATAAGAACAGAGAAAAAAAAAGGGGTTGGCGAATTCTTTTTTATGTGTAGAGACAGGATTGATTCTAAATTACTATATAAATTAAAATATCTATCCACCTCCTAATCAGGAGTTGGAGTGCAGTCTATCCACGAGTTGCTGTGAATGCCTCAGGCGCCAACATTTCCCGGAATCTCCCCTCACAGAATTCACATCGTCCAAAAACGCACCAAGCAAACCATGTAACCACGCCCCCAAAGTATCTTCTATACTCAACAACATCTAACAACTTTTAGAATAATGGTATCCCTCAAAGATCAAAGCAGATACCGATCTGTGGATCCCAAATCCCGACCTCCACGCCCAGTCCAACAACCCGCTCCTTCGCGGCTCCCAAAGGGGGTGGATGATATTCGGAAGACCAAGGAGTATAAGGCTGCTGCACGGAGGTATGTGCCATTGAACTCTGTCTTCTGTTCTGCTTCTGTATTCTTGTATTTTCACTTTGTTTGGCAAATGATAATTGGCAACAATGAGATCTCTGATCCTCTCTGTTTCTAGATGGACCTCGATTATTGTCGGACTACCAATTGTACTGTGCACATCGTACGTTCTTTATGACCGAAGTAAGTTTTAAGCCTAGGCAATCTCTACCTTCTTTGGATTGTGTACACTAACTGATATCCCTCTAGTCTATGGTGGAACGAGTCCCAAACGGATTGGACATCAGCCACAGAAAGACTAGTCTGCTTCCCACGTTCTTTTGGTCTTTATAAAAGCGGAAATATGTGTACAATCGAAATCAGAGTGGCGTTTGAGAGACTTCGCAACTGTAAATAAGCAGTCCTAAAAGAATCTGTCTCTTCTCATCTCAGCAATGTCCTTGGGGGGAAAATCACAAATCCGGGCTTAGTGCATTTCATTGCATTTCGTTGCATTCATTCTAAATTCCAACGCCGGAGGTCTCAGTGTATATCCATGGCTATAGGCAGGCGAGAACAACCCACCCAGCTTAAATTACATAAACAGAAGAAAGGTACAACATCCAGATGCATCGTTCCCAATTTTGGAAGTTCTGCCCTTGATCCTCCCCACATTGCCAGCCTGCTGGGGGAAAAAGCAAGAAGAAAAGAATGCTATAAATTCCAGAAATGGTGTCTGGAAGAGGTCATCTAGAATGCGAAATGACAGAAGGATAAGGCGGAGAAAAGATAGATCGTATAGATGTCACAGGAGTTAGCTCCAGGCAAGCGTCAACTAGCAACTCCTTGTAAAGGAACGTGCTGATCGCCTGAGCCAGCCGACTGTGGCATAGATGTCGAGTTACTGCCATTGCTGGCAGGCTTCGAACTACGCTCGCGCATGCGACGGCCCTCCATGAGACCACGCAAGCCACGCTTCTGAAGACCGATAACACTGCTTAAATCACCAGTCCAGAGCTCACGTTGGGGACGACGCGACTTGGCGTCTGCGTCACGGCGGTGACGGGCAGAGCGGGACTGCGAGCGGCTGTCGTCGCCGCTGACCCACTCAGAGTCGGACTGGCTGAAACTAGCGCTGGACGCAGATGTCGCTGTGCTTGGGTTGCTAACAGAATCCTCGCGGTCGCGATGGGTGCTGCGCTTGCGAGGATGTTGGGAGACACTGGTGTCGATGCGAAGAGATGGAATGCATCGAGCGAAGTTTGAAACATCGCCCGTGCTGCTCGCTGCCGACGCGGAGGCAGCGCCGTGCTCTGTGTCGGACGAGTACGGTGTGAGTGCACCGTGTTGGGAGTTGCTTTGATCGCCAATTGTGGGCGTAGTGCCATTGTGCCCAGTATAAGCTCCATTCAGAGCCTCGAGTGTACCTCCTGGTCCACCATTGAATCCAGTACCGCGACCACCGCCAGCAGCCATGGCAGCTGCGTTGAATACAGCTGCTGCGTTGCGCCCATCGAGGACTTGATGGAGTCTTTCGACTGTGGCTTCTAGTAGTCCGTCGATCTGGTACGGACGTGCGAGTTGTAGTAGCGAGCAGAGAATTTGTGGGGTGCAAAGCGAGGTACCTGCAGGTGGGAGGGCTGATGTGTAAAGGTAATGAACCAGCACCTGAAGAGTTAAAATGGTATGGGGAAGGTACAGCACACGCGGTCGGGAGGTTGGGGCGAGGCTGTGAGCAGATGGAATCTCGAGGTTCTCAAGCAGATTTTTCGAATAGACAGACTGGTTGACAAGAGTGGTTGTATCAGAACCTATCGAGGGAGTAATGGTGATACTCGAGTTGCGGCTCGGGTGTATCTGGGATGAACGAAGAGTCCCGATATCTGCAATACCTCCTTCCGACGACTCGCGGAGGAGTTGGATAAAGTAAGGACCCCAGCGCCGAGTCAGCAGGCGGGAGTTGACAGAGATACGTTCTCCCCCCACAGCCTGCAAATCCATGTCTCCCATTTCCGACAAAGATTGCGCGAGCTTGCCTAGCTCATTGGATGCGGCAGACAATGGCCGTCCACCTGAGGTCAACTGCATTAGTTTCTTCTGCAGAGATGCTGGAACAGAAGAGGAGCTATAAGACGTATATCCAGAGGTTGGAGAAGTGCGGCAGGAATTGTTATAGAGTCCAAAGGCCTCTAGCTCGACTAGACAGATGTTCGAGAAGTTGATTCGCCGGTGATTGTAATCATCAACAAGGCTTCGCTTCCGGTGTCCAAGAATCACAAAAGAATTTCGTCGAGGCCAAAGCACTCCTCGGTTCCAACTACCTTGTCCAAACACTGACCCTCCGGCGTCAATACGGCCCCAAGTCAATGTCTTTAGGTCGAGAGCCCACAGCGCATATTCCTGCTTCGATGAAGTCAGGTAGGTACCACTAACAACGAAGTGGCCGTTGATAATGCCACCGTTAGGGAAACGTAGTCCCGGGGGAGACGCTTGGCTCTGCATCGGTCGTTCGACAAGGCGTCCGTCCGGCAGGCGCACTTGCAGCTCCAGCTTGACATCGAGGAAGTTATAGTTGGAGTATATCAGCATAGGGCAACCTGGCGATTCAGTGCTACCTTGAATCGGCTCGTGTTGATCGCGGTCTGGAGCTGAGGACCCAATTTCAGAGACATCCATTTCCACCAGAGGAGCTACAACACTGCGATAAGCGCCGCAGCTCCTTCCCAGGGGGCTAGTGTTGGTCCACTTGAGACTCCGCAAGTTAAAAACACTGATTTGCTCGATGTAGTGATTGGAACTATCCTGGCCTCCGACCACCACCATCTCTGCACCTCCAAAGCCGTCAATATCCACGCCAAGTGTGCCTTGATGAGTGGAAGATTCAGGATTATTGTGGATGGCGGACAGTGGTGCACTAGCAGATGTGAAGCAAGCGCTCGACGGAAGAATCGTAGCACAGTGTGCATAGCGCCCCTGAGGAGATTCATGGGCAGCAACACGAGTCCACACCCGCGATGGCACATCAAAGATGTGAATATCCGACATGACCACGACTTCCGATTGCGACTGCGATGGCGGTTCCGCGGGGTTTTCGGGGTCCCTTGTACTCGGTGCGGGTGACATGCCTCCATAACAGACTAACTTGTTATCCCCCAACGCACACACACTGTGGAAGTACCGCGGCGGTGGAACATCTCCAGCGGGCTCAACTTTCGTCCAATGTCGTCGAATCAAGTCCAGTTCGTAAAGGTCGGAGGTGAGTTGAGGGCGACTGCGCGAGAGGATCCGGCCTCCGAACACATATAGCTTATCGCCCAGGATGGTCGTAGTGGCACCGACGAGCGGACGAGGTTCCTTGCCGGACGTTCGCCGCACATTGCATACCAGACCAGAGAGATTGATGGGCCCAGAGGCAGACTGCTGGTTAAGGGACGGAGAGCCCCCCGGCGCAGAGTCCTCTCGCCCTGAATCCATGTATCCCAAACTCGACTGACTTCGCGACATCATTTTGGACGAATTTCTTGTCTGCTATCAACGGAGACAATCGTGTGGGTAGCCGTTGAACCCCCTATTTCAGTTCACTCAATATCGCTCACATGCGATCGGGCGTTTTTCTCTCTAATGCGGTAATCTCGGAGAATATTCCCGGCGCGGATCGTAGGGTAGTTTTATTATGAGGAGCCGAAAAGGGGAGTGGTTCCCCGCGACGCCGCAACTTCGGCGACTTTACAATGGGGAGATGAACAAAAATTAAGACAATGCAGACTCACTGCTGATCGTATGGATGAGTGCACAGTCCTGGCCGATGTGTCAGCCGTTGAGATTAGAGATCGGCACAAAATGTCTTTACCGCTTTTCTCCTTTGCATATTGGCCCCAGGAGCCTTCAAAAGATTATACGTGCAGGTATCAATCTTATGCCTGGTTTTTGAATTGTAAGATTACTGGTGCTGCCTATATCGTTTTTAGAGAGGATCCTGCGTTTACCAAGGAGATGCACTTTTTCCCGCTAAACTTCTTACTTGCATCCTCGGTGCCAACCTAGTCAACTGAATGTATCACAACTTGTCTGATGGCTGAAGATTGGGGATCAAGTCAAAACGTTTGAACAACCGCAATTAAAGATTTGTTAAGACATTGGTCTAAATCTGGTTTTTGCAGAGGCCAAAAATGGATTGGATATGACGGTTGAAAACCAGAGGCTTGTTGAGATGCAACATCGTGGTTTGCATAATGGATTCCAATGCAGGGCAAATGGGCCGCAAGGTTGAGGAGCGAGGAGTGAGGATGTATACAAGCAGGCGACAGCTGCTTCCATGGATGCACCTCGCTTCCACTGGAAAATAGAGATAAAGCCAATGGAGAAAGACCGATGGAGTCCATGGATGGGATGCTCAAAGTTAGTGGCATTAATCCACATACTGAGCTACTCGTTGCCTCTATTTCCAGAGCGTTTCGAATTTACGAATCTAGCGTAGTAAAGCGAGCGAAGTCGTGATGTAGGGTGACAGAAGAAGCGCGGCAGTGCCAGCAAATTCAGGATCTCCGAAGTCGCTCGGCAAACATGGCAATGCCATTGTAGTTGAATTCATATAGTGGCAGCCTCCAAAACATCGTTAGAGAGTCAGTGATTGGGACCCAAGGGAAATAAACATGCTAGGCATATCGATCATACAACAACTGATAGCTAGTCTCAGAACGGCCTCCAGCGTCACCAGATCTCCAAGTAGGTCTTGTTCCTCTCTTGTCATTTTTCCCTGTGATAGGAGAGCGGGAGGGGGGTTCGTCTACCGGATCGGAACAAGATGTGGCAGGTTCGGTCTCGGGCTTCCTGAAAAATTTCATTAAAAGTCGCTTTGTATCAAAGCTCTGGGCGGGAATAATCTCCTCGCCAGATTCCCGTTTCTCCCAGAAGTGGTACTGCTACACTGGAAAACTTCGTGCCGAGTGCTCGGCTGGGCTGGGAACTTTGATCCTTGAGCACGCAGTACCATCGCGGAGGATAGAATCTGTGCTCTGGTTGAATGACAGTGGCGATCCGATGAGATGTGAGGGGAGAGATGAGAAAAGAGAGGAGACGGGAGACGGTAAAAGAGCAGTGAGAGGGAAAGGAGGCCAGGAGGTTCTTAAAAGACTTCTGAATTTGGCACTTGGATTGCATAGCTTGGTGCGCCTAAGTTTCAGGCAGCCTCCAGAGCTCAATGCCTACCATGACCGACAGATTTGTTCAAGTTATAGTACCGCTGTAATAAGATGTCTCTTATTATATGAGTTGTTGGCAAAAGCACAGTTCGTATCTTCCCTGACGAGACATGTTAGCACTAAATGCACATCAAGTGAAAGGCTAGGGAAATTCATAGAACAGGATTAGCGATCGCACCCGATAAAGACCTCTCTTGTTGACAAAGAACAGCTCGTAGTATCTACAGAAGCCTTAGTATTGACCTTTGGCCTCTGTATACTACTTGGAAGCATTCTCGGTATGGAAAAAATGGGAACATGTCCGGTCAATTGAAGATAATCGTTTTTATCTCAGCCAAATATACATCCACATCCGATTGGGTGATTAAACTCACATTTGGAATAAACACCTTTGTTGGATGAACCATGAACCATTTCACAGCTCCTTCTCGCGTCTACTCATCTAGAGCCTATGCATTCGGCAATTTTTTGCGGACTTGGAGTCCACAATCGCTGGCCGTTTTCGTGTATAATTTTTGCGAATCGATTGACAAGGCTCCTATGGCGTCAGCATAGGAGGGCGCCTGACACCGGACGAGAACATAACATCAGAATTTGAAACTCGCAATTTCCAGGAAAAGCCAGCAGAATCAAATTTATTACTGGCCACTATCTTCGCCTTCATCCCTGACTACGATCGACGACTACGCAATGGAAGAAGATGAAGACGCTCTCTAAATATTCAACTGCCTACGAGTTCATGGAGTAATTCGAATGCTGAGCTATTGGGCACATGGGGCAAACTCTACTCAGATGCAAATACCGAACTTTGTCACATCTCCATCACCCACAAGAAAGTCCCCGGGTCTCAAGATCATTGTTACTAGCTTTATTATGTGCAAATCATTGTAAGGAACATATCACCGCTTGCCTATATCCATCCAAGGCCACTCCAAAGGTACCCTGTATTAATTTTTGAATTTAATGGCAATCAGGAAGACAGATAAAAGGGAACGGGCTGCATGTGAGTTTGGGACCTGCGGTAGTTCATGATGGGCCCTTCGTATAATAGGATATAGATTGCGTCATCCCTCTGGGTCTCTATTGGCTGGGATCAACGTGCTGTTAACATATCTCAAGACACACTGTCCACGGAATGCAATTATCTCAGAACAAAAGAACATATGAAAAAAAAAGGAAGAACATAGAAAGAAGAGAGAGGTAATATGCATAGGTCAGGGGGAAATTCGCATAAAAGATGACCCCTCCAACTCCAACACCCAACCCCACATGCACCAGCTTTACCTCCACCAATCGGTGAGGTTTTGCCCCTGCGGAAAGATGTTGCTCCCCCAGACGATGGCGTGATTACATCATTTGATACATCATGAACTCAGGGCCGGATACAAATTCGAACTGTGCCCCACCAACTTCTTCTTCCACATCTTCTCTTGATCTTCCCTTCATATCTCTCATTCCCCACCACCCCCCCAAAATCTATTCACAATGACTGACCGTCCTACGTACGCTTCAAATTTCCCTTTCTTGTTTGCTTCGAACTAACCGTTCATTAGCCTTCGTCTGGGCTCTATTGCCCCCAACTTCAAGGCTCTGACTACCCAGGGCGAGATTGATTTCCACGAGTTCATCGGTGACAAGTGGACCATTCTCTTCTCACACCCAGATGATTTCACACCGGTAACCTAAGGCCAGATCGATTAGATATCTCTATCTCGCTAACGTATATTAGGTGTGCACCACTGAATTGGGCGCGTTCGCCAGGCTTCAGGATGAGTTTGATCAGCGAGAAGTGAAGATGATCGGATTGGCAAGTTTCCGCCACGTTTCTCGAGATAACTGCCATTGAGTGCTAGCTAACATTCTCTGTCTCTCATAGAGTGCCAATGACCTTGGTTCTCATGACGAGTGGATCAAGGACATTAACGAAGTCAACTCGACTCAAGTCAAGTTCCCAATCATTGCTGATGCCGACCGTAAAGTCGCGTATCTGTTTGATATGCTGGACGAACTTGATTTGCAGAATATTGACTCCAAGGGATTGCCTCTGACGATCCGCTCCGTGTTCATTATCGATCCTAACAAGAAGATCCGCCTTATCATGGCATATCCTGCCTCCACTGGCCGTAACACTGCAGAGGTTCTCCGCGTGATCGACTCATTGCAGACTGGTGATAAGAGAGGTGTGACCACACCTGTTAACTGGCTGGTAAGATTGATCATCCCTTTGCTTCGGAATTTCCTTATATCGGCAGCCCTACTCTGGAATATTTGCGTACCACCTTACTGACCAATCTGATGTAGCCAAACGATGACGTGATTATCCCTCCAACCGTCAGTACTGAGGATGCCAAGAAGAAGTTTGGTGAAATCCGTGAAGTCAAACCGTAAGCGTTGCTATCCAACTACCTCTCTAGATTGGTATTTGCTAATCTTAAATGACGGATGCTAACATATTACAGTTATCTTCGCTTCACCAACCTCCAACAGTAAAACGCAGGTTTACGGTACAATAAAAGATATGACTGGCTCTTGATACACAATTCTCTCATAAATTCAAAGATTTTTGAATTATCCTTAAACTTCCATATATCTGTTAGCTATGTGCTTTTGTAAGAACTCACATTTCTGGTATCACGTCACAAAGCGTAGTGTACGCCAATGCTCGGTGAAATTCATGTTGGACAACTCGTAATTTTCTGTTCACAGCATTGTCACGCTGCAAGCAACCTATTCGAACAGCCTCGGATGAAAACTCCCGCAACGGAACGCGTCATACAAATATCAGTGAGCTCCGTCGCAGATGAACGCTAGGTTGACAAGATTGCAGATGAACGCCCCGTCGTGGGAGTGTGGAAGCAGCGATCAAGCCTAAGATGAACATGAGCACCCCGTGGCCGAGGGGTGGGGGCAGTCCACGGGGCTTGGACATTGCTCGGATCAAAACCAAGAGGTTCACCGATGTTGACAAGCTTGCGAACCAAATCCCTTGGATGAGGCGCGGGGTAATAAACGGCTTTTGTTTAGTAGTGAGAGTAGACAACCGAACCTGAAGCCGCTACAGGGGGAGCCTTGATGCTAGTCTACCTGGAGTCCCCTCCCCCACTACCTGGAGCCGTGGCCCCAAGGCCGCCAGGAAGGTGCCCCCCTTTGCAGGCCTTGGGAGTTCTTTGAATTGACTTTAGTGGATAGATGTACCCAGGCATACAAGCGTCAGTGGGCAGATCTCCAATCTCCGATCCTAGTTCCAAACAAGATGGTTCAATTCAACAAATGAATTCTTGGAGAAAGGAAGAAGGGAGAGAAGAAAGGTTGATTCTTTACACACAAACAGAGAGCTACCTATGTAGCTAGATAATGCGAGGACACTAGGGGGGAATACTTCGTTACGCCGAGTACAGCAGTCGAGATACGTTCGAGTACGGGTGGTATAGGAAGTGGAGCCCTCTATAGCTTAAAACTAAGAGAGGGGCTTAACAATATAGCAGATGACGCAAGTGAAGATAGCCATTAAGGGTGGTGATAGGCCGAGTCGGCAGGCAGAGCACCGTAATATAAGGAATTGGCGGAATAGAGAATTATCACAAGAAGGTAGAGATATACGGAGGTATATACAGATAAGAAACGCGCAGGGTTAGGGGGATCACATGTAATACGGACCGTATTACAGAGGTCACGTGATAGATAAATTCTGCCACCAATCAGAGGCCAGATTTCAAATCCGAAAGGCGGGGATTTAGACCTAGTAATTAAGAAATTGAATGTTTAGTAAAGTAATACATTAATATAGTGGTCCGGATATCTTCGGGTCAGTTGTACTTATCTAAGGTGTGGCACCATTGAGATATCCGGGACCTTTTACATAGGTGACACCTCTCATTTCGACATCTAGTTCTTTTTCAAACTCTTTTGACTGAAATGACTATAATCAGCACCAATAGAACCCTAAAGTAATGACGCAATATCACCTCAACTTGATCAATAGTCTACCAGCCATCTCGCAACCTTGCTAGTTGTGGAGTGTCAAGTCAAGATTTGGCCAGTACGTTTGCTGATGAACATCTGCCTGCTCCCTCCAGGCTCATCATTTCCGAGATGAACAATCCAATGTTCTAGGTTATACGAATTCAATGGGCCATTTGACCCGCATGTAATAAGTGGGGCTTCGTGCATTTACCACATTGTTGTACATCATTTGATTATATGGCCGTAACCGTGCCAAGCGCCCAACCACCCAGGATGGGTGGTTGGGCGCTTGGCACGGTTATTTTGTACAAAGTGAGCTGCCTCCAAGTCTAAAATTGACCTCGCACCATCTTACCAGCGAGGGCACTCGTACAGTGGTAGCACAGTACATAATTTCTAAGATGACTCTTGTTGGAAAAGACTCACCTCAAAGTGACAGACAAAGCAATATGCTGATGGGTCAGATAGCATAACCCTATCTATGTGAATGAGCCTATGATGAGCGTATTGAATACTCATCTGGTTACTGAGACAGTGCGATGTTGCTCTAGCCAATCAATATTCACATCTTAATCCACCTCTAGCTCTCAGGATGATCTGGAAATTTGTTCGACTCCAGAGAACATGAATCTGGGTTCCCAACTGCCACTGTGAGAATTGAGCCTGCTTCCAGAAAGAATCCTTGGTGCGAGCCATCTAATTTAGAACAAGTGGACCATTTGGATAAATATCCCCTTGGCAATCATGGTATGCGAAGCAATTTTTTTTTTCAAGGAATTTGAAATCAACTTTCATATTTCATGACAAGGAAAATGTCCACGTAGGGCTTAGGGCTTCGGGGCTTATTATTAATTGAAGTGAGAACATTGACCAACTGGACCAGCTTTGAAAGCCACGCAAAAGAGACAGTGCTACGGATTTTGTACATATAATTGAAGAACCTGGATGTGGAATAATGATTCAAACCTTGAATCTTTATTGCGGGTAGAAAGTGAAGTAATTTTGAGAAAAATCAACAAGTCTCCTGATGACTATCGAGATTATTTACCTGTAGAGCTCTACAGTGGTACTTCCAAAAAGGGATGTAGTGCCGATCATGATCGACCCCATCACGTGCGACCCCAGACCCACATCCGCGTCAAGCTCAGTGCCAAACATTCCAGGAACCTTGGAAGCTCCTGCTCAACTTGATTTGATAGCTTCTACAACATTTCACAGTTAATGGGAGCACAACCCCATTGATTTTACTGCCTCCATTTAATTCTCCGGAATTTTCCGCATTCACTGCATATATTTGCTGCCTTTCGCTGTCACTAAACCTGCGCAAAACAATCCAACAGTCATGCCACCCAAGCGCAAGTCTGAACGCGCTGTGGGCACAAATGAGTCGATCGCAGCGCCTTCCAAGCGGCTCCGAAATACTTTAGATGCAGCCCCAGCTTCCGCAGCATCGGCTCCAGTGGCAAGTGCATTATGCAGGGGCTGATCGTCGCGTCCCGTGGCTTCTCCACTCCAATTGTTGATACAGGGCTGACATCTTTGTGATAGGTTGATGTTACACCCCAGACAGGCGAAAAGAGAGGCCGTGGTCGTCCGCGCAAATACCCCGAGAGCTTGACTCCCAAGCCTGCTTCTGATGCGCCTAAGCGTGGCCGTGGTCGCCCACGTAAGATTGTTTCTGAGTCGGAACCTGCGGTTGTAACTCCATCGGGGCCCAAGAGAGGCCGTGGGCGTCCCCGCAAGGACACAGGTATGGGGAGGGCTTTGATATGTTGTGGGTAGTAAATTTGCTGACGCCTGTACTATGTTTTCAGGCGATGCCACGGCCGTCACCCCGAAGACCAAGAAGAAGGATGGTCGCGGAAGACCCCGCAAGAACCCTCTTCCAAATGGAGAAGCTGAAGCCACTGAGTCGAAGGTCACACCTGCGGTCAACATCATGCCTGAAACTGGCCGCTCTTTCTGGTTGATGAAGGCCGAGCCTGAATCTCGTCTCGAGAAGGGCAAGGACGTGAAATTCTCTATTGATGACCTGGCTGCTGCGGATGCACCCGAGCCTTGGGATGGTGCGTCCAACCTGTTTCGAACACTTTGTATAGGATACGTTTGCTAACAATGGAATAGGTGTACGTAACCATGTTGGTCAGTTATCCTGTTGAAAGTCATGATAGCTTTGACTACAAGCAACACACTCACAGTGAACTAGCCAAAAATCTCATGCGCGATATGAAGAATGGGGACTTTGCATTCTTTTACCACTCAAACTGCAAGGTTCCTGGAGTTGTGGGAGTGATGGAGATTGTCCGGGAGCATTCCACAGATGGTTTGTTGTCCTCAAAATCACAACGCTTCGTCATGTTGCTGATCTACGACTCCTGGTAGAGTCCGCTTTCGACCCCAAGCACCCATACTACGACCCAAAGTCCAACCGAGAAGACCCAAAGTGGGTTGTCGTCCACGTTGAATATCGCCGCAAACTTGAGAAGCAAGTCACCCTCCAGGATCTGAAATCCCATGGCCAGGCTGGAAAGCCGCTCGAGAACCTTCAAATGATTAAGCAATCCCGGCTCAGCGTGTCCTCTGTGACCCCAGCACAATGGAAATACATACTGGAGCTGGCAGGCGAAGAACCGCAAGAGGAGTTCACCAAGAAAGAGGCCAGTGAGCAGGAGCAATAGGGATGAGAAAGTAAGCCGCTATATGCAAGCGTATGCACAGAGAGTTTCATTCCATTTAATTCTCCCAAGTATTTCTATTGATGGCGTTGCCGGTTGAGCATGGGTTATCTGCACAGTGAATTGAAGCACCTTTTACTTGACTCGATGTGTCCTCTAGAAATTTGTGCAAGGTATAGACCCACCAGAGCAGTTTGGTTCACTTGAATTCATTCGCATTTGCAACCACGTCACTGCCAAATGGGCTGATCGCACTATTTTATAGCGTAACCAGTCCCTGACAGCCGACATTTCACTGCCCTGGCTTCGACGCGACACTACGAATACCCTGATCAGGAGCTTCTATGATAGTGTCAAATAGCTCTTGTCACAGCGCTACCTTCATCGAGCCGCCCTCACATATTTGCGCCAAGTTGTCCGCCCAGTCTACCGCGTTTCCAATACATGCGACTGCCAGCCACACCACCGGTACAACTCTGGCATAATATGTCTCAACCTTGGGAACCCCCGTCGAACCCTGCGGGTCTGATGCATGCAAGATGCAAGGAGCCACGGAAACACCGCTTGAGCATCCGGGGGCTAGCGGCAATATAGTACATTTTCGATGTGTCTGACGCCATGGATGCCCCTGCAGCCTTCGAGTACTTTAGGCGTTCATGGCAGAAAAAAAAAGTTTCTATGTTGACCTTGGGCTGGCTACCTTGGTATTGATAAGCAGAATTCAAGGCCCGGAGACCCGGAAGTTCCAAAGAGAAACGAGTGGAACATCCCTCTCCCACGCCGCACACGGAAAAGATAAATGGACCCCGGGACTGTGCAGCCAACCAGAGAAGAAAAGAGTGCAAATTTAAC